CCACCACATCCACAGAGGCCGTGCCCTGTCCTTGGCACCAAGTGACCCTGTCCCGACGGACAGCCTGTCCCCAACTCCATCCAGACCCTGGGCAACCACGTCCTCCCCGGGCCCCGGTTCAGCCGCCTTCCCCAGGCACCGCTCCGACTCCACAGCCCCGTACACTGCAGTCTCAGTGGGTGGGGGGAGGGCACGTCCCCCAAGGTCTGAGGACAGGAGTGCTCTCGTTCCCCACGCACGGGAAGCCTCTGGCCAGGCCGGGGAGAAGGGCAGCAGGACGGGTGCACGCGAGTCACAGAGCCCCAGGCCCAATGGGCAGCACCACTCCGCCTCCCACCTCTGCATGTGCAGGCTTCACCCCCAGCTGTGCTCATCACCCACCCATGCCACACACGAGGGGGCCTCGCAGTGTTCCTGCCACCCAGCATCCCTCCTCTCCCCTTCGTCAAATCCTGGTCTGCAAGGTGACAGGAAGCCTTTTCCTCCCCACCCCTGCCTGGGACCCCGGGACCAGGCCCACCAGGCACGGGCACCCTCAGCCACGTGAGGACCAAGTAGCCTGGGTCCTTCTCGGAAAGGGTTGCCACCTGTCCAGTCCTGCAGGGCACATGGGTGTGTACGTGTGTGCACGTGTGGAGAAGGGGGCAGAGACGACCAGATCCCTGCCCTGCCTCAGCGTGGCCCTGGAGTAGCTGATCACTGAGCCTCCTCCCCCAGGCCCCTCCGGAATTTGCTACCAGGCACTGTCCCAGCAGTGTGAGGAGGGCCACCACGCCACAGATCTGTAGGGGTCGTTCCCGACTGCTCCTTCAACCTACAGCTGTGTGGTCGGGCTTGGGGACCACCCTGGAATAGTGACAAGGGGTCTCTGCTCCCAGAGGGCTGCAGTCCCAGGGTCAGGGGTCAGAGCTGTTACTGTGAGACCTCAGCCCCCATCGGCGTCCACACAGGTCAAGAGACCATCGCAGGGCTCCAGGGACCCAGGACAGGTGGGGCCTCTGCCGGCAGGAAGGCAAAGACGCTAACTGGAAGCGGGTAGAGGACCTGGGGGACAGAACCCTGCCCAGACAGAGAGCAGGGCCAGCATGACCTGGGAGCCAGTGCGGAGAACTCCAGGCACGAGCTGCTCACCAGCAGAGGCCCACGTAGCCACCAGGGCGGTGACCCAGCCGACCTTTCTCCGAGAAGCCTCCACGAGCCCCTGGAGGGCAGGCACCACCAGACAGAGCCCACTGCACCCTCCCGGGGCTGGCAGGTCCCAGACACGTTGAGGAGGCTCAGAAGCACCCGCTGGGACCCCACAGCACCTGGAGCCCTAGAGGCCCTAGAGGCTGCCCCACCCCAGCCCCCTGCACAGGGACGTGGGGCACAGGCCAGCACCAGGCGGGGTGGCAGGCAGGGCCAGGTGAGAGGCGTGTGAGTGTGTGTGTGTGCGTGTGTCTTTGAACACACCAGGCCTGGTGCACACGTGTGTACCCCTCGCTCCCCTACACGGCTGGGCCGATTTTATTTAGCTGCTTTCTGCTCCATTTCACGCCTGTTCAGCTGCTGAGCTAGACAATTGCTTTGTAACTCTAGGGTGCAATTTCCCTGTCTGTGAGGCGCTGGGGCACGACTGCTCAGAACATCTCGCACAGGCTAGGGTGGGTGTGCAAACACACTGGCCCTCGCCCACCCGGCTCCCGGGGCCCGGGAAGAGTCCATACAGCAGGGCTGGGCCAGTCCGGGGCTCGGCACCCACCTGGCCCAGGCCAGGGCTGCATCTTTCCTGCATCTGCTCACGCTCAGGGTGCTGGCCATCCTCAGGCCAACCTGGTCTGACCTTGGTGGCCAGGACCCACCCGACCCTGGCCTCACCTTTAAAACGGAGGGACGTACCACAGGAAGAGAGCGAACTCTGGGGGGTTCCCATCTGGCATGTAGCTGACCAGTCTACCTGTCTATCCCGGAGGAGCAAGGAGCACATCCACCACCCTGATGAGATTGCCAAGGTGGCCCTTCCCGCCCTGTCGGTCCTTCAGCCCCGCTGCAGCCCCGGGGAAGGTTGTGGTCATTCCAGGGGGAACAAGGGAGCCTGCAGCTGTGCCTCAAGAGATGGAAATGCCACAGACAAGCAGGTAGGCAGATGGGGGCCCTCGCCCACACCCTTCCCCATCACCTTCCAAAAGTCTGGAAGACCTGGCATGGGCACCAGCCCGTACCAGCCACAGTCCAGACATCAGGCTCTTAGGGCCTGGACCCCTGCCTCATCCCTGGCCTGGCATGTGGCCACTTCTGAAGGAGCTGGGCCAGCCAAAGCGACGCCTCCAGGCCCAGGCCCACAAACTCTAGCCTGGCAGAGCAGGGAAGGAGGGCAGGTCTTGGCTTGTTCTGGCCTCAAGCCAATGAGGCCCCTGCCCTGAAGTGAACGGACAGTGGGGCCAGGCCTGGGGCTTCTACTCCACAGGACTGGGCCTTGCTGGGCCTCAAGCCCCCAGCCATGACACTCCAACAGGGGCAAGCCCCATCCTGCTCGCAAATGCAGGCCCAGGCAGCCCTGGCTGGCTGGGGGAAGGGCCTGGGAGCTTTTTACCCATCCCCGTGCCACCTCCCCAGCAGTTAGCGTGTGTTCCACCCCCTGCGGACCCCACAGGTGCATGGCTACCCTTGGGTGAAGGGGCGCAGGCCTGAGGGTCCACTCTGCACCCACATGATAATACCATAAGTCTCCGGGCACCCTTTTCCGAAACAAAACGAAGACTACCAACTATGAGCCTCTCCCAGAGCCACACAGGGTCTGCCGAGACAGGGTTCATGGACAGTCGGCCTCCCAGAGGAGGAGGCAGGCCCGCCATGGCCCTGAAGGACAGGCGCAGCTGGAGGAGCCCGTGCCTCACACAGCAGGAACCAAGCCACGCGAGCCTGGGCTGTGTGCGGGGCTCCCTTCCCTGCAAGGCCCGTCTCTGGAGGCCCAGGCAGGGCGGTGGGCCACAGGCGTGCAGCCCAGCAAGGCCACGGCCACTGTCAGCTGCCATCTGGGGGCCATTTTTCTCACCCTAACACTTTCCAGTCAACAAACAGAGCCCCCTCCAGAGTTCACCAAAACAAACGCCCCCGTAGGCAGTGCCTGGGCCTAGCCGCGAACTGCCTCGTCAGGCCCGAGCTGGACTCCAAGCCCAGCCTCCTAAGTCACGTGACCCTGTTATTTCGGGAGGCCCCGGAATGTGCTCTATTTTGGGTCCCAAGGGCTTAGATGTTACCAGAAGCCCCTCACCAGGCTCCAAGCTCACCGGGTCCCTGAGAATCCACCAGAAGGGCTTCGGGGGCCCCATGCAGCTTCGCTCCTAATGGTCAGTGGCAGTGGAGAGGGTCCGACGTGGCCTGGGACCTTTGGACTGTGCAGGCTCAGCCTTTGGGTCCCACTGTCCAGGCCTCCTCCCTGACGGGCATGGAACAAGGCCAGCCCTGGGCAGCAGGGCCAGGAAACAGGGCCTGCCTTAGGCAAATTCCCCACTTCTCTTCCTTGCCCGATCTGTCCCAAACCATCAGCCCCGTGGGCGGCCCACGGGACAGGAGAGGCTCCCTGGCCACTGAGTCCTGCAGCAGTGCATGCTGGGAGAAGGAAGCCCTCTCTTGCTGGCCCCAGACTCGAAAGTGGCCAGGCAGCTCAGAGAGATGGTCCCGCCTTCCCACAAGTCCCAGACCTGACCCAGGCGGCCGGCCGGGCCCTGGATGAGCCAGGCCCTCCGACACTCACCCCCACGAGGGATTAGGCTGTGTTGACAAAAGGGCTTAGGCAAGTAGCCGCTTAAATGGACCTTCAACTGCACTGGACTTCAGAGTCGGTCACAAGCTTAGGAAAAAATAAAATGTAATCAGAGCCCAGGACTCTCCACTCAGCCCCGGGGCCGCCTGGGAGGCCACCGGCCAGGTCCAGACAGCTGCCGACCGCTCCATCAACACAGCCCCCTTGTCCACGAAGAGTGTTCTGGCAGCCTGGAAGTCCAGCAAAGCTACTCTGCAACCCTAGTCCTGTCCACACATGCCAGGCCCTAGGACCAGCCCTGTCCTTCTCGGGGACCTGTCCCATTCGCAGGACCCAGACAGAGCGCACAGGCTCTGAGCTGCACCCTTGGGGTCCCAAGGAGAGCTGGACTCTGTGGGCGCACATGTGACAAGGTGTTGACAGAGGAAGAGGAGGTGTCGTCCCACACGGGAGCCCCCACAGTACGAAGTCGCAGGCAACTTGGCACCCGTGCACTGGAGTTCAACTCCAAACTCCCGCCACTGCAGAGCCTCAGCTTGGCTTCTGGCTGGCCCATCTGCAAAATGGGCATGAGTGCCCACCCCAGGGGCTCCCAGCCCTGGTCCCACGAGGGCCAGAGAGTGAAATCTTAAGAGCTGGTAAATGTGTGGCCCCCACCCAGGTCACCCTGCAGCAGGCACATGGTGGGCTTGTGAGTGGCCAGGGTGCTGAGACCCTCTCCCTCAAATCCCCCTCGGGGGACTCCCAATCTCCCAGCGCTATGCCCGGCCCTGAGTGCCCCCCAGGGTGGTCACACTGCACCCCAGGCCTCAGGAGTTGGGGGCCAGGCAGAAGGAGTGATGGTCCTGGGCTTGGTCCATAATCAGCTGTCTTAATTTTCATTCAGCACAAATCCTTCACCAGCCTGACAGCCTGGCTGCCGTCCCCACCACCAAATTAATATCCTTCCCGGAGCCCATTTACAAGTCCTCCTCCCTGCTTCTCAGGGCTCCCCGGCCCCAGGGAGAGAGCAGGAGGTGGGGGCCCCTAGCCATGCCCACTGCCCAGAGCTGGGGCCAGGCCTGGAGTTGGCAGGCAGTCGGGTGCTGGAGGCACTGGGCGGGAGGGCAGCGGCATAGGAAAGCTACCGCTCCACTCTCGGCGTCTCCCCCACGGCAGCACAGCCCGGGTGCCCGAAAGAGGGGCCGGTCCTGGGTCTGGTGTGCGGGTGCAAACGGCCCCTGGGAGAGCCCATGCCCACCGGGCTCAGACTGCCATGGAGAAACAGGGTGGCAGTAGCCTGCTTCCTACGGGACGCACCCCAGGGCCGGCGGGGCCTGCTGCAAGCGGCACTGGCGGGGGTGGCGCAGAGCAGAGGCCACTGGGCCCAGCGCGCGATCGTCCCGGTGCCAGGGAGGCCTGAAGCCGCGAGGGCGCGGGCGCAGAAGTTGCTGCTCGGGCTGGGCCCGGCTCCCAGCGGCCCGGGAAAGCG